TTTTTCTTCTTTTCCATCACTCCCTCTGGGGGCGGGCACGTCACTGGTCTGGGTCACGGGCTCACCACACCTGCACAGGAATTCTGCTTTCGAAGACATTGTGCCCCGAACCTCACCCATGTCTGACTTACAGGATAATTCAGAATCGACTCTGGATTTTAGATTGATCGATGATGCTGGAACGAGTGTAGATTTTGGGGGCGTCACTGTTGGGATGGAATGACATGAAATGTTTATGCCCTCCCCCCCACTTCAGTGCGTGCTGCTGACCTAACTCCGGGGCTGGCTGTGTTTGGAGACGGGGCCTCTACAGAGGAATGCTCATGAGATCATAGGGTCATGCCCAGATTAAAGAGGGTGGCGACCCTATAAGAAGAGACAGCAGAGATCTCTCTCCACCTCACACGGCACACAGAGGAAAGGCCACGTGAGCAGGCGTCCTTTAGCCGCAGGGAGAGCTCTCCAAGGACAACAGCCCTGTCAGCACCTTGGGTTCAGGCTTCAGCCTCCAGAACTGTGAAGAAATAGATTTCTTTGTCGTCAGCCCTCCTCCCCCCAAACCCCAGTCCATGGTACCTTGTTAAGGCAGCCCAAGCTCATACAACTGATTTTTATCTCTTTTATCCTTCATGACCAGTATATATTATCATTTTCACCCAGTGCCATGGGATGAATTTGCTGTTCTTTTTCTGACTTCTATAGATGTTGCCTAAGCCCCTGATTTTCAGGTGCTCTTTTCTTTGTAATAATTTCATTCATAATTTTCCCTTTGGCCTGTAGCATTTACTTGACCATTTAGTGAAACTGTGCATCAATGTAGAATATTTCCGTTGTCATTTATGTAAGAAAAAGTCTTATCTTCATTTGTGGTTTGCTTCTCTTGCCGCGGGTTTTTAGAAGGGTTTTGCTTTATGTCCGAAGATATGGAGCTGGTATTTTTTTTATCTACAGCAGAATTAAGTGATTTCTAATGCTCCAGGATATCCTGCTTGCTTATGAGAGGTCCCCAGGCCAAGGGGTGTTAGCTGAGTGTCCATGGGGTGGGCCTCAGGGCCACAGCCTCCTGGCGTTTCTACAGTCCCCTTCCCGGGAGCGTGGGGTCTGGGTCCTTCCTGGGCTAGTGCATGGGCAGAGCAGCACACTCACTGGGCTCTGCTGGGGCCTCCATTGACTGGGAGGAAGGGGGTGCACTTGTCTCCTGTCCGAGATTCAAGCTGTTCCTCTGGGTGTGGGTCACATCCTGGGGGTCTTCAGATGCCATGGCCTGGAGGGTGGGAGAATGGGAGTCAGGTGTGTGATGGGTGGGGAGCCAGGGTTCCGGGAGCAGCAAGGACGCACCTGACCATCCTGTTCCCCTTACTGTCCATTGTGTCCAGCAGTCCGTCCGACACAGGGAAGGAAAAGGGGCCGCTCCCCCTTGAAGGCTGAGTGGTTCCCCCTGGGACACAGTCACCCCAGTGGACTCACTGTCAGGGCTCTGCTGGGGGAAACAAGGAGGGCGGCTGACCTCCACCTTGACCCTCTTCACTTACAAGTCCACCCGGAAGCCAAGGTCGATTTTAAGACCTAAATGATCACTTGGATGGATTCCCGGTTGGGACATGGTTTGCTTGTGTTTCTATCACCCAGTCTAAGACAGAGCCTTGCCAAACATAGATTCCTCATAAGGATTTGTCACCTCCCTGAATGAATAAATGAACTAAGGTTGGGGGAAACTCAGTCTGTAGGATTTGGTTCAACCACTTCAGTCTGCACCCATATGCTCATAGACAGACAGACAAATAGAGACAGGGCACTTGCCAGGTGGCCAAGAAGAGGACAGATCAGCACCCTGTGCTCAAGGAATTCATGGCTGTGGGGTAGGAGCTGCCCACAAACAAGGAAGCCATGATTTGGGGGAGGGGTAAGTGCAGTGGAGGGGACAGGGGAGAGCCTGCTTCTGTTACAACAGCTCCTCCACCCTGAGTGTCAGCACAGCTGGCCAGTCCCTCTTTGCTCTGGGTGGGGATGCTGTCCTACACGTCGTGGGATGTGCAGCAGCACACCTGGCCCCTAGAGGCCATTGGCAACCCCCTCCGAGCTGTGATGAACAAAGTGTCTCTAGACGGACTTGGGGAAGTACTAAATATCGAGGGTAAGAAAACTCTTCTGGGGAGATTGGAGACTTGGCGCATGGGACATTGAAAGGCCCACTGGGCCGACAAGCAGAGATGGCTCACAGGAGCTTGGATATCTGAGGCTGGAAATAATTGTGGAATTATGAGCCTGGAGATGGTCCAGCTGTACCTGGGATTAAATAAACGTGACAACATCAAATAGGGAGTTGTCTCATAGTGAGGTCGACATGATGTTCAGGTGAGCTTCCTGCGGGACTAGGAGACAAATGACACATCATTACACTCAAAGCACATGATTGTGTAGTTCCATTGCATCTAAATCCACATAACCAGAGGGAAGAGAGTAAACAGAGCAAAAGCCAGGCTGAGGATCTCTGTTCATGGACAGACCATTCAACAGAGTGCCTTTGTGTGAATAAGAAGAGGCACGGTGCTCAGAAGCCACCAGTAGGGTCTTAAATCCCATTATGCCTATTGTGCAGTGCACAAACTGTACAACTGTCCCTGGCAGCATTGCCATTATGAGACATGGACAACCAACAGTTCAAAGGACCCAAAGGAAGGGACCAAGAAGGAGGGGCCCATGTGGTATCAGAAATACCCACTGATCGCTTCTCGGCCTTTTGGCTAAGATCAAGTGTAGAAATACCCACTGAGACATGATGTCCCAGTAGCCTGCATGTATCACCTCTGAAAGAGGGGTGAGGTCAGATGTTGCCAAGCTGAGGGATAGGATGCTAGAGAAATAGCCCATGGATTTAGCCAATGAGCAAGGCTGTGCTGTTCTTTCTGTTTTGGTGCCATATTTTGGCAGTGCTCTAAGAAGCCACTTTGTATCTTCAGAGTTGGGTCTCACGTCTCAGGTAGACCAGAGCTCCCCATCGTCTACTTACTTGACTTACAGCATTTTTTCTGGTGCTGGTGTCGGACAAGGAGGAAGAGGAGAAGGAGGAAGAGCATCAGGAAGAAGGTCACAGGTGCTGGGATCCAGCTTCTCTGGTGCTTATGACCTTGGACACAAGGGAAACCATGAATGGGCCATGATGTCAGTTAACTGGGTGACTGCTGCATGTAGACCCGTGGTGGGGTCTATGCCATCATCACCTCTGATCTCCATAACGATCACGCACCAGAAAATGCCACCCCCACCTTCACCCATTTCACAGACAAGGAAACCAACGCTCAGAGAGATGAGTCCGGTGCCCCAGGTCACCAGGCCAGGAAGTCAGTGGCAGAGCTGGGATTCCAACCCAGGACTGTGGGTTCCCCGTGCTCTCCTCACAATGCCCACCCTAGTGGACACCTGCTTCTGGCTCTGGGCTCCTGCCTTGGTTGGAATGGTCCGTTCTGTTGTCCCCATGCGCCCTGCCTTCTCCTGAGCCCCAGCTGAATGTATCTGCTATTGTCAGAGGCTTTGGGGTGCTCAGAACCGTTTGTGCGTGGGAAGGACTCCATGCCTTCCTCACTCCCCAGGTCCAGCCAAGACTGGTCCTCTGCCCTGCAGACCCCACACTTGCACGTGGGACCTGCTGCAGTTTTCAGCGAGCACATGAGGGGAGGGAACATGAGGGTTCGCACACCCGGTGGGCCCGTCCCGGGCAGGGCTCTCATTTCCAAGATCTCACCTAAACCTCTCAGCAAACCTATGAGGGAGACCATAGGGGACACGTTTCACAGTGAAAGGACTCATCTGAAATCCCACTGCCCAGAAGGGCAGATCTGGGATTTACATCCCATGGAGCCCGACCGTCAAGCCCTTGCTTATTTCTGTTTGATTCTGATTTCTTTCCAGCAGGGCTGTCTGGATACGGCCAGGCTGAGCACTGCAGGACAGACAGAGGAGCTCTGGGGCTGTCACCAGCATCACTGTCCTGCCCTCCCTGCATCCTACAGCCCTCACTGTTCACCTTCCCATTCTGCAGTCCTAAGGCAGCATCCCTGGAAGGCCCGAAAGGACATGTCCTTGGGATCTGAGCCAGGATTCTCCCCTATCACAAATGGGGAAACTGAGGCCCCGATGGAAAGGGACCCACCCCAAATCACCATCTCAGGGAGCACTGAGACCCCGCCCCTCAATGGACCCCACCAGGTACATTGTCAACCCAGGACAGGGAGGGTGGCATGCTCCTCCCTTCAGCCTGGCTGCTCTCCGCCTAGCCTCTCCCTCTGCCATGACCACCCCACCCTCATCGACCAGCCTCAGCCCCTGGAGCCTTCCCCCCTACATCTCTGCTGGACTCTTAGCCCCGGGACACAGGGTTGCTTCTGAGTATCTCAGGGGGTCTTCGTTCCTCTGGGAGGCTCTCAGACTCCTCTGGAATGGTCTGTACTCTTTCTGAGGAAAGAGGTCCCAGTGACGTATCAGCTGTGCAGTGGGGACCTGGGGGTGGGGCCTGGAGCCCCCAGAGGGTCCAGGGAAAGAGACAAGAGGAGGGTGGAGGGCTCGAGCTTCCCACAGAGACCCTCTCTAGGCTCAGACCTTCCTGGGGTATCTGCCCCAGGGCCCCGAAATCCCTTCTGTAGGCACCTAGAGCTTTGAGTGGTGGGCGTGTGGGGAGGGGCAGGTGTGGGAAGACAGTGTGGTCCTCATTCCTCTGAGGGGTGGATGCCCCTGTGAATGAGCCTCCCTCTAGCCCCTCATTCCCATCCTATGTTGGGGGTCTTCCAGACAGGGTCAGGTTGACCACAGGAACACAGAGGGGACGGGTTGGGCTCCTCACCTGAGGCCAGCAGCTCCAGTGGGTCACTGGGATCTGAACATATCTGGGGGGTGTTGTTGTAATAGCCATAGCATCTGAATATCCATCTGAGGCTGGTGTTCCCGGGGCCCACAGGGAACAGGGCCTGGGTCCCACCACGGGGGGTTCTCTGGGAGACCAGGGTTCAGGAAGGCTGGTGCTCTCCTTCCTTCATCAGGACAAACCTGTCAAATCCTAACCATGAGCCACACTGGAGGGTCACATTCCCTCCTGAGGTCACAACATGACTGGGCAGGGCTGAGAGCTGGGGTTTGTTCTGTAATCCTAGGAGAGGAGGAGGGGGTGGGTGTTAAATGGTGCTCAGATTCCCCACATTATCCCCAGGCTGGGCTGTGAGAAGGAGATACCTGAGAGCCCACCCCCTTCCTGAGGGCAGAGCCTGGGGCTGGGACCCTGTGTGGGCTCCCACCTGTCATCACCAGCACCAGGGGTTCGCTGAACTCTGACCAGCCAGTGGGACTGGGATAGTTACAGCAATATCTTCCTGTATGCATAACTCTCATGTATCTGATGAAGAACTTGGCCTTGTCCCTGGGCTCCAGTGGCTTCTGTCTGTCCCAGGTCTCTAATTTTCCCTCTTTATGCAGGTGGTACTCCTGGGCCTCCAGGCCACCCTGACACCAGATGGTCACAGATGTCCACCAGGGGATTGCAAAGCCTGGCTCAGCCCAGATGGTGGGTTTGGGGAGGGTCCCTGGAAGGAAACAGAGGCTGGGACACAGACCTTCCCCACCCCCAGGTCCCAGCTCTGCCCCAAACCACCAGACGTGCCCCTCGGTCAGCCCAGAGCTTTTGTTCTCCATCCCCCGCTGCCTGATGGGTGACTCCTGTCCACAGTGAGGAGGTAGGACTGAGACCCCTGGGGACAGACTCACCTGTCTGTGCTCTGGTCCTGGGGTCCACACTCAGCCCTGGAAGAGAGTCCCTGTGAGAGGTTTGCCCCAAATTCTAGCAGAACCCCTCCTCCCGTGAGCCTCCTGAGCCTGGGGTCTCAGACAGACCAGGGCCTGGCTGTGGGGCGAGTCCCTCCCGGACTAGGGTGTCCCCACCCCTCCTCAGATCTCACCGAGACAGAGCAGGACTGTGAGGGTGAGTGTCATGGTGTCTCCTCTCTCTGGTTCCATCTGTGCAGACAGAGGGACCACTGTGACCGTAGGACAGACAGACACATAGGGTGTGGCCACGTGGAGGCCAGTCCTGCCTGTCACAGGGTTGTCATGTCAGCAAGATGTGACAACAGGAAGGGGAACAGCCCCTCCCCTGAGCCCTGCTCTGGTGTCCATGATGGTGCAGGGGGTGAATCCTGAGGCTTCCTGAGATGCCCCGTCCAGGTGAGGAGACTAGGACAGGTCCTTCCCCCCCCAGGGCCCCCTGTTGGGTCTCCTTCATCCTCAGCATACCCCTGGGTCCTCACCATGGACTGGGGCCCAAAGCCCCAGAAATGCTACAGTGGACACAGGTTCCTGCTGCCATTTAGAGCTCAAATCAGCACAGACACAGGTGTGTCCTCTCTGATCAGCTCACGTTGAGATCATGGTGGTAATGAACCCAGGGGAGAAATACAAGCACATATGGAAGGGAGCACAGCCCCTCTCCTGGCCCCAGAGTGTAGACTTTCTTTCTGCACAGGTTCCAAGGACTTCTCTATTTCCTGTGACATTGTCCACACTCCCCAACCTTCTTGGGAACATCCCTATGAGACGCTCCTGGCTCCTCAGTGCCCCTTGTTTCTGGGGCAGAGCCGTCCTCTCCACCCTGGGGTCCTGTATGTAAGCTGTAGGGAACATTTATTTCAGTGGTGTGGGAGCTCTGATTTTTGAAGGAAAAGTTAACCTTTCTCTAAATATTCATCTATTATCCATTGCCTGTGTTTCCCAGCGTAATAACATCCTGTCTCCAAGTCTGTTTCCTTGTTTGGATCTTGTCCTGAACCCCACTCCTTAGGGTAATTGTGGGGGTCAGTGGTTCCCAGTTCATGGGAGGGGACTCATTACTGCTAGTTTTCAGAGAGGGATAAGAGGGGTTTTGTACATGGAAGGATTATGGGCTCAGACTTAACCTAGGTGGATGTTTTTCACATCCAGTCAAGACCCCCTCACATGCTTTGTACCAATAAGCGCTACTGACCATATTTCTGAAACAGTCATATGCAGGAACCGAGAAAGGAAAACTCCCCAGAGAGTCAGGGAACCACAAGAAAGAACAGAGAACAACGCTGAGCAGCTGTCAGTTTCCAGGACCATCAGCAGGTCATCTGGTAGAGGCTTCCACCCATGTGGACACAGAGAGGGACGCCAGGGTCCTCAGAGGCAGGCAGGGGCCAGGACTGCGGGTGAAGGCTAAAAACTGCAGTGCTCCCCAATGTGTGTTTGTGGACAACAACAGGGGTTTCTCCACTCACTGACTCAGGTCAGCTCCGAGTCACCTCCCCTACATGTGTGTGAAACAGATTCATTGAAGTTTTTCTCTTTTGTGAGTGACTGTGAGCTTGAGGCTTGCATTGGACCCATCCCTGCCTAATACAAGCCTGAGCAGATGTGACGTTTGAGGGAACGGACACCACAGACCAGGAGAAGCTGCAGTTATCTCTTGTGGTCAGCCCGACTCCCAGAGCAGCCCCGGGAGAAACCCTTCTCGTATGAACAGGTGTATGAGAGGAGAATGTCCACCAAGAATGGACATCAGAGAGTGATCTTAACAATGGTTAAGTGCACGGACAATAAGCTACAGATGAATAAGAATGATCATACACAAGGAAATAGAATCAATAGGAAAATAAGAGAAAAAATTAAGCATATTTAAATATCTGGAAAAATGAAAGGAGATATTGAATTTTTGATGCAAGAATATGGATTGTGCCACAGAAGATTAGGCAATTCTTGAAACAATTAAGACATTTTAGAGATGAAAAATCCAATAAATCAACACATTGAAAAAACTCATCCCATGAAGGACAAGACAAACCTGAAGAGACATTTATAAAACTAGAGTTCAGAATTGAGAGATTTTCCAGAAGGCAGCATAAAGGGACCAGACGTGGAAATTCCCGATGTTGGGGAATAGAATGAAGATGTGTTCTAAGTGTCAGAAGGACAGAAGTGAGGATGATGTCTGTAACAGCTGAAGAGATACATAATTGAACATTTTACAGAGACACCACTGAGTTTTAGGGTGCAGTCATATTTAGAAATGGCATGTGTATTTTGACCCTTTGTTGTAAATGAAGGAAATGGAGATGCATTTGAGAAGGTAAGAGGATCTTTGCCAAGTCACCCCTCTGGCCAGGGCACAGTTGAGAGGGCTGAACTAGCCAACATGGAATGGGAGAACAGTGAGTGGGTGCCTGGCCTCTCCAGCTGTGTGGGTCTGCTGGAGACACCGAGAGTATTGAAGCAGGACCTCCAGATGGGGAGAGCGGAAGATAGGGAAAGAGGCAGATAAGAGTATCCAAGGGATTAAACAGATGTGGTTCCCATTGACTGCATTCAGGACCACAGCAGGAAGTCTGTCTCTGAGCTGTTGGGGGATCTGACCCCAACACCCCCAGCCCCAGCCCAGGTGCTCTCTCCACTCCCCAAGAGCGAAAACCTCATTGTAGGCTGTGGCCAGATCTTTGTGCAGGCTCTGAAAACAAACGAGTCTGTGGGCAAGACAGAAACCACAAACTTGTAGCAAAAAAAAAAAAAAAAAAAAAAAAAAAAAAAAAAAA